AGGGAAAGAAATGATAGATTTTATTAATAAATTAATTAATTTAGTTAAAAGTGGGCCTCATTTTTCCACTCTCGTGTGACTTCAGCACTTTTTTAGAGGAAGTCAAAATTGCATTACATTTGATGTAGCATATTTTTTACATTCCACTTTCACATTCGCTTCCAATAAAACAAACACCCAAAGTGCTAAAAGTAAGTCACTTTCACAGGTATTTTTCACTCTCATCTAAACAAACACCCTCTTTAAGTGTTTCGCTTATGCTGTTTTTCTTTTTTACTGTTTTTTTTAATGAGACTGTTGCCACACATTAAATGTTAATTACTGTTCAATATATTTGATAAAGTAAAAGTTTTTCTAGTACTCGACTGTTCAACAGATTTGAAAACTAAAAGTTTTTCTAGTACTTAACTAGGACAAGCGACTAGAAATGGAAAGGTATGTTAAAAAGTCAGTGACTGTTTGAGAGTAGGATAACTGTTTAAATCAGTTTGATTAATTTTTGCTGTAATTTATTGTAGTATAATTCAAATGAGGATTATGTGGAAAAAGAATAGCAGAAATATAATAGTACATAACTGATGCCAACAATGGCGAACTAAGAGAATTTGAGTTCTTCTATTCCAACCCAAGTTTAACATCAAGTGGTCAAATATGCCGTGGTAAGATCGGTAAATAAAAGCCATTCATCCGTGTAGAAGAAAGTAATGCATGCCTTTGATTTCACACTCACTATATGAAATCGTAACTGATGTAATCGACCTGCGTAGGACTCAAATGGATAGTAGCATTACAGAATACTTGTAAATTGTAACTATACATTATCCTGCTATGTCATTTTGTTGATTTATTTTCTCAATCTTCATGTGCTTAATGTGTAACAATGAGAAAATTTAGATGAGAGGTCACACTTAACATGGTTTAGTAGCCTATACACAATCAATTTCCTGAAGGTATGCCTGATGAATCATAATGGTCTACAAGGACATGAATCTCCATATTTGGCCCAAATGGCAGTCACTTAATACTAAGCAGTAAGTAATATACCAGTGTAACCGGTATAGCTACGAACATGCCAATAATAACCCTGCAAAAGTGAAAAGAAGTCATTTCCATCTTAATTAGCATCTTAAAACTGACATATTAATTAACATTACATGACATTATTACCCGGTGCTCAGGATATCAGGATGCAGTCCATACTCGTTAGCGAACACAAATGGCACAATTCCTTGGGGAAAAGCTGCCTGCATAAAACTACATATCTTACCTTCACAAAGTAAGAATATTATAATGGACAAAGCCAACTTTTTGTGAAATAAAGTACCTGAATAATTGCTGCACTGAGCAATTTTCCTCTCATTCTAATAGCATAGGAAGGAATAGCCATTGTGGCTGGTCCTATTGCAAACCTAGCTCCCATAGATAATAACATCATCCAAGTCCCACATGCAATTAATTTTGGTTGTGATGCCATAAAAAGACCTGCGATTGACCACGAGAAAAAGTTAACTAAACCAGACACTTCCACATTTTATAGGGTTATTTGCACTTAAATACCCCAATGCTTAGCTACATTTAACTTTGATAGCCCAAAGGTTTTTCCTGCCCAATATATACCCCAAAGTTTATCTCATTGTTACCTTTGATGCCCAAAGTTTTGTTTTGCTCAAAAATATACCCTAAAGTTCTGCAAAATTTAACTTTGATTGCTCAAAATTTAACAAAAAATAAAATTTGATACCCAAACTATAATAAGTTAACAAAAAATTTAAGTTTGGTGGTATTGAAGTTGAACATGTGGAATTTTTTTAGCAAAAAGAAACTTTGGGGTATTTTTTGAGTAAAATGACACGTTGGCGTATTTTCTTGGGCAAAATGAAACTTTGGCATATTTTTTTGGCCAAAACGAAATTTTGGGGCATCAAAGTTAAATTTCATAAAAATTTGGGATACTTTTTGTGAAACAAAACTGTGGGGTGTCAACGTTAAAAGTGAGGCAAACTTTGGGGTATTTTAGTGTGAATAACCCTATTTTATGAAATGTCTAGTACCTAAGCTAAACATAGCCATGCCAAGTCCTCCGTCTGCTAGTATGGATATGGAGTCGTCAACTATTCTTGGAAGTTTAAGTCCCCATCTGCAAATACTTCACTTGATTAGTTGATGCAATGACCATACTTAACTCTTTTTTTAAACTAACAATGCTCGGAACCATTAAATTCTTCTTCAATACTACCTAAAGCTGACTAATGACCATATGAGGCCTGCTAAGCATGAGAAGGTGTTGGGGTTTTGCATAAGTTTCCTTGTGACCGTCAATAGAATGGTCTGGTATTTGCTCTTTTTGGAGGAAATGGCTTTTGCTTCCTCTTCTTCAGGCTTCGGTTGTGCTTCTGGTGATTCAGTTGCTTCTTCTATATCAAAACATAACAACATTTTACATAATCCCTCAGCCAGCTGAAGAAAAGGAAAAAAGGAGCACGAGAATTGCGAAAATCGTGAAAATCCTTTATATCTAGTCGCATTTAGAAAATCATGTCAATGTCTTTCTTTCTTGCTGTAAATAAGAGGCGCGAAACCTAATGAGGTCGGGGATATTTATAAATTCTTTAGAGACTAAGTGAAATGTTCGTTTGCAAACTATAAGATGGTACATGTTTTATTTAGGTGGCTTCCTTCTGAATGATTCAAAAGCAATGTTTTCTTTTTCTTTCTTGTTGAATATGCTACTTGCCTACTTCCTAAAATCATTAACCAAAGAGTTCATATTAGATGAAAATTATTAATCTGTCTTAGAAGCAAGCACTCTCTGTCATGAAGCTTCCTTGAGTTTCCTTATATTTCATTTGGTTGTGGCAAACAAATCTCTATACTGAAGATTTGGTGGACTTCTTACTGCCATTTGGTGGTGTACACACTGAACTATGTTATCTGGGTACTTTTAGTCTGAAGTTGTACCCGTACCCATACTCGTATCCAAACTCCTTGGACACTCCTTGCATATGTGCATACATTTACTCAGGCATGTACTCAATTATACAATAAATGTTTTAATTTAAAACACTTGTCTTTCAATTTTTTGAACATATATCCTACACTTCACATCCACTTCTTGAAACTCGTTGGACATGTCTCAGCTTCCGAATTATGATTTTGAAGGGTCGTTTGGATGTCTAGTTCAAAAATTAGTGATTTTCCAATTTATTATCCACATAAAAAAACACACGAAATTGTTATAGGAATTTTGATTATCATCCTTGCTTTCGTAGAACTTATTAATTCCAATATATAATATGCATACATTTACTCAGGCATGTACTCAATTATACAATAAATGTTTTAATTTAAAACACTTGTCTTTCATTTTTTGAACATATATCCTACACTTCACATCCACTTCTTGAAACTCGTTGGACATGTCTTCCGAATTATGATTTTGAAGGGTCGTTTGGTTGTCTAGTTCAAAAATTAGTGATTTTCCAATTTATTATCCACATAATAAAAAACATACGAAATGTTGTAGGAATTTTGATTATCATCCTTGCTTTCATAGAACTTATTAATTCAATATATAATATATGTGTATATAAATATTTATATAGCCGTGTCCTATACCTGTACCAGTACCGCTGCCTGTACCTGGACCCATGCAACATTAGACACTGAATTTTGGATAGACTGGTCATCAAAATTATCACTTGAGAATTGATTACTTTTTTCAATGCTGTTAATTCCTTCGTTAAAAATGTTATATGCTTTTGTTTCAAAATTAACAATAGTGGAAATATTTATTGACATGCTGTTTCTTTGTTTTAGACCTGCAACGCCAGTAGAGGATCTTTAACTGATGGTTTCTTTTTAATAATTGCATAAAACATTAATGATGTTTCCAATTATATTTGTTTTCAATGACATGACAATAATATACTAACAAGGATTTGGTCTCAACAAGCATATGGATACTAGTATGCACAAAAATATATATATATGCACATTAATGCACCCCTAAACATGCACTTTTGTGCGTATAAACCGCATGTGCATTTTGGACATACTGTTTCTGAACTTAATTACTACTCATGGTAAAAGTTTTGATGGTATTTATGACACCTCTCTCCTAAATTAACCCATTTGCTGGTGACCAATGACTCATGATGAACACATTTTGCTTCTTAAATGGTTACTCTTGGATAGAATTAAAATTCGCATAGTTTCTTTATTGTACGGATTATAAATTGGAAATCACTAGTTATTGAACAATACATCTAAATGACCCTTCAAAATCATAAAACTTGGCATATGTCCAACGAGTTTCAAGAAGTGGATGTGACTGCGGGATATGTGTCCATAAAATGTATGACAAGTTTTTTAAATTAAAACATGTGTTGTATAATTGAGTACATGCCCGAGTAAATGTATGGACATATGCAAGGAGTGTCCGAGGAGTTTGGTACGGGTACGGGTAAATGCCAGGTACGGTTATGGCTTCAAATTAGAAGTACCCAGGTGGCATGGACGACATTTATTTATGCTTTTGCTGTGTTACAGTATAAATGCAGTTATCAGTAGAAAAAGGTTCAGCATTTAAGTTAGGCTCATCACCTGTACTTTCAGTCGGAGTGTCTGCAACTAATCCAGCAGCCCTGAATTCGAAAAGAAATAGCAGAAGGGTATACCAAATTAAGCTCTGCAACATAACAATCTGACCCAGGAGCTTGACAGCTTCATCCCCATATAGAGATTTTATTAATGGAATCCCTAGGATCAATGTATTGGGTAGAGTAGAAACTGAGAAGCCAGTGATTAGCCAATCCAAGCTGCCTCTAAACTGCAATTTACATATGACTCCAAGTACCAAAAGAACTAGAAGTTTTTGCACTGTATCCGAGAATAGAAGCTTGAGGTTCATCTGATAAGGATTGTTGATGGAGATATAACGAAATGAGAGCAGAGGGACTGAAAATTTTGCAACGAACTTGTTAATCCCGGAGCACTGAGTAGAGGTGAATAGTTTCCACCATTTAATGGACATATAAGCTAGAATCATGGCTACGTACAGTGGCACTATTGCCTCTATGACATGGTAGATGTCTGCTCCAGATATCATTTAGGGCCCTTATTTGAGAGCAACCTCCTTGAATTAAGAAAATTTTCCCCGAGGGATTTCAGAATCACCTACACGCTCTTCAAATGTAAATGAGATTGCAACCTGCTCTTGTCTGAAGTATATATATTCCCTGAAGTGCATCTGGACTTTATTTAGGTTGGTAGTTGTCAAAGAATCTTGCTTTCATACAGTAGAGCAATTTTATGAACTTCCGTTTACTGTTATCAGCTGCGGCTAATAGTACTAATCATAGAGATTGTTGTTTTATAATCACTATTGATTTCTGATTAATCATGCTTTCTAAAAAACTCTGTATTTTCTCTTCCTTTAATCTCCCCTTCCTTTTGTTTCTTCAGACACAGATATACACTGCATATTCGTACATATGCTGAATTGTATTGAATTTTTTTTTAAGGACAACTTGATCCTGATTCTTACATACCAAACTTACATGATCACAAGCCATTAAATATGACATACAAGATCTAACATTTTGAAACTGTTCAAAGATAAATGTGACATCTCAGCTGTTTCTTGCATATGCAAACAATTATATCTATGGTTCTCATATTATACACATATATTAGATTTGCGCCCTGAGCTAGTTTTAATCAATTTGTTGTACTTGCTGATACAAGGATTATTTTCTCCCTCCATAGGAACCTCAGAAAACCCTGATTCCTGCTCCGACTCATTTATTTACACATCATGAGTATTCAAATTATGAGGACAGACTTGCATTTTCCAGTTTGAGGATTTTAAGTAAATTCTCGCCTATACATGTATAGTATTATATCTGTATATATGTATTCTTATGCATTTATATTGTTTGTCATCGGGTTGTATGAACTCTGATAACATTGTGAGTAAAAAAGAGGCTTTGGAGGCACTAATTCGTTTATTAGGAAAGGTTGCTTCTACGATACTGATCCTTCGACAAATCTTCGGCAAAAGGAAATGCTTTAGCTGGCATTTTAGCAGGAAAAAGGATGCTCAAAGAGGTGTTACTCAGAATTCTATGCTTCCCACCTGAATAATTCTCAAAGAAGATAAAAAGAGGCTTGTGCTCGTAAATCTCAAAAAAGCATTCAAAATACTGTAAGTTTCTAGCATACTTAGACAGTATCCAGGCTGAAGCATCTTCACTTTATAGTTCTCTTGCATTGTTTTTTGCAGAGTTTCTTGCTTTATACATGTCTTTTTACTGTTTCCTCTCATTCTTTTTCACTGGAATTCTGGTGATTTCAAGTCATTAAGAATTACCTTGTCTCAGTACCCTTTTTTTTTTTTGGTTTATATGCACAATTGAATGCCTCTGCTAGTGATGCTGAACATTTAGGTAATAAATAATCTATGCATATGCCTCTATAACTGAATTTTTGAGGGTGTAGATTGAGGAAGGCAGGAATAAAGAAATGAATTGTAGGGGAAGCAAGGGGCTGGTGTTTTACATGCAGTGAGCAATGATCTATTTGCCCATTTGTGGAAAAAGCATGAGAATAAGTACAGTGGGGAGCTTGCTTTGAAACTTATGTTTTCTCCCCTAAAATGAGCAGCCCCTTCTTTATTAAAGCCATTCATGCGCAGCAACTTTTCCCCCACTTTTTTCAGGGCCATGAATAACCCTCTCAACACTTTAAAGAATGACAGCTGTGAACTAGTTAACTGTTCCTCGTATCTTATACCGTAAAATCTTGTATCTGCATATGCATACTATGTACTATAGGGGTGTAACTATTTCGTCTGTCGCTGTTCTATTTTATTAGCACATGCGCATTTTTCGCTGGACTTGTAACACTTCCATAAGGATCATGTGATGTTAGAGTTCCAGGTTTAGTTATGAATATTTCCGCGCGATTCTTACGGATGTTTAAAATCTAATGGAAAGGTAGCATCTATCACCTTGTCCAGGGGTGTATGTGTTGATAAAATAGAACACGAGCTATAAGTAGTTCAACTCTCGCAATGCCTCTTGTTGTTAGTTTCTGGGCTATTTGAGCTCAAGTTATTAACATAGAAGACAAAGAAAAGAATGACATAGTTTTATCATTATTATTATTATTATTATTATATACAAGAAAAAAAAATGTAGCTTGGGGTCATTCCATGTCATTGGATACACCATGGGTAAATCTTTGACTTTAAAAAACAAAGATTGTTCAGGATAACTGAATGAGGATTAACAAAACTCCTTTTCAGAGACTTGAAGAATAAGAGGATATCAGAGTTTGACCAAGGATGCTCAGCATTTTGTAGTGAATTTGCTCTACTTTTGAAGAATATAGGTGAATACTCTTCTAATGAAAGGATTATAGGGTCGAAAAATGTATGATTGAATTTCTTGTTTTAAGAACGAGTTCGATCGCTTAGTACGAATCCCTTACAATCACTCTCTCTCGATTACAGAGGAAGAAAATTGATCCGGCTTCTCTTTTGTTTAAAAATGGGTTCTTAGTGGCGAAAAGATGCTTTTCTCGATGCTCAAGCCGAGATTGCTTCCCGTTAACGATCAGAGCAAGATCACGAAAGCTTCTAACGGTGGATTAGATCACGAGAATGCAGACATTGATCTCTCTTCACGCGATAGCCAAAAAAATCCTCCAAAAAAGGTCCCTCTTCATAGCCGCTCATGGCTATTTATAGAGTTCGTAGCGCGTAACTGACGTGCTTGAATTGTGGGTAGATGACATAAGTGCCTCTTTCAATTCAGCCCACGTTGGTAAATGGGGCGTAACGTGCTCCTGATGTTTAGCCCACGTGACTAACTAAGTCTTCAAATCCGTTATAGCTGGATCTTCTATGGACGACGAACCTCGCTGCATGACGAGGTTCGTCAGACTGGACAGACTGGACGAGCCTCAATATACAGTGAGGTTCGTCTTATGAGGCAAGCTTTGCGGTATAGCGAGCTTCTTCTGACGAACTTTGTCTTCACTGACTTCGTTTGACGAGCTTCGTCTTCGCTGATGAACTTCGAACCTCGTATCCAATGACGAGCTTCGCCTCCAATGACGAACTTCGAACCTCGTATCCAATGACGAACTTCGAACCTCGTTCCAATGACGAGCTTCGTCTCCAATGACGCACTTCGAGCCTCGTATCTAATGACGAGCTTCGTCTCCAATGACGCACTTTGAGCCTCGTATCTACCGACGAGCTTCATCTTTTGATGTTGTGTGACATGCCTCGTCTTTGATTAAGATGAGGTTTGTCCCTATGACGACCTTCATCATATCTTGAAGTTCGGCATTTTTTAATGCCTACAAAACCCCTTCAAAGTTATCAGACTTGAATTGGGTTGTATGGAGACTGAAACACTTTGAATCCTATTAAGACGCACTTAGCCTCATTGTTCGCAATTCAACGATTCTGTAAGCTTTGCCACGAAGTTCGGAAATTGTATGACCCTCGCCTTTTCATGTGAATATTGTCAGACCCACACCCATATGACACCTTTCAGCCTTATCGGTAGGGACTGCTACACACCTTTTCTAGTCCCGATAGGTGGCTGCCAGCTGATGCTTCGAGATCTCCTTCATGGATCTCGCCCACAGATCTCGTTGGGAGGGGAACTCATCCAACGATCTAAATCAAAGATCTCGGTCCTTGATTCGATTTCTCCCGCCCATATATATATATGGCGTCATCATATGGAGAGTCTTTTCTTCTTTCGATCGCTTGAGTTATCAAAACCCTTCATCTCCCAAATTTCCAACTTTTCTTCTTTGAGAGCTTCCAATCCGAGACTAATGACTCCTAAAACCGTTGTAGGCAAAGACAAGGGCAAGTAGGTCGCCGGTCCTTCAGATGATCCCGCAGCTTCGTCTGCTTTCTTAGGTAATAGATCTGCACGCAAGATCTGCGTTTCAACGCAGATGAACCCTGTCTATTTTAGATTTGGGTTTCTTGAGGGAGATGAACAGTTTCCCTTTTTTTGAGACGAAATTCATCTGAAAGATGAAGTCTTTTGATTTGATGAGGTTCGTTGTCTTGGCATATTTTGTCTTTTTCTGACGAACCTCGTCCGCCAATTGAACCTCATATGTCCAACTGCGTTGGCTATTCTGATGAGGTTTATCCTCAATGTCTGTCAAATGAGCTTCTGTTTGACCAACGAACTTCGTCTTCCATGACGATGTTTGTTAAATCGACAAACTTTGTCTTCACTGACGAGGTTCATCCAATATACAAAGTTAGTTCAACTAACAAAGCTCGAAGTTCGTTGTTAGACAAGGTTCGTCTATTTAACGAAGTTTGTTATTGGACAAGGTTTGTATCATTGGGCAGTGACTCATCCTCTAGACTAACTTCATTTGTCTTTTGTGCAGTTGTGCATCCGTCTGTTCTAATTCCCCAACGTGTTGCTTTCGGAGCAGATGGTACTCAAGCGATGGAATATGATTCACACTATTCCTCCCTTGAAAACATCCCTATGTTTGGGGATCGAGGACAAGAAGAACTTCGACTTCTTTCTGAGCCTTCGATTTCCACTTTTAGGCGTTTGATCACGGACGCTCCCTTGGAATCAGTCGACCGTGATTACATCGTGAAGCCTGTTTTTCTGTTTAGATACTCTTCAGAGGATCCGGTCTTGTTGGAATTGAGCACCTATCGATGGCTTAGGACTGTTAACGGGCGCCGTATGTTCTTGCCCTAGATGGAACGCGACTGTTCTTTCACTGCCTTGAAGATTGTTTCTGCCCCTAGGAAGATGGATTGAGACTTAACCTCAACACAAGATGGGGGTAATATGTGGCCATTTCTCCAGAAGCGGTGCCAAGATAGATAGTAGCAGTCGCTACATAACCAAATTGCACCTGGGATTATTCCAGAGAGAATTACCCATCGGTGAAACAGCCGAGGAGGCTAACACTTTTGACCGTGCTTTCTTTAAATTAAAGGGGCAATTCTCCGCTAAGGACTTTAGGACTCCTGGTTGGTCTCATTGGAGTCCTACCCAGTGGTGGTCTCGTGTTACCGAATACATCTTGCAAGAGAATCAGGGGGACCTGCAAAGATTTGGGCTTTATGCGTCCATTAGGGCGACACAACTCGGTTTAAGAAATAACTCTCACTAATTCTTCGGTGTGTTAGAGTTATATAATCCTAACACCCGTACCTTCTTCACTCCAAACGGTGAATTGAGAATTCCTCTTCATGAGATGGCTGAAGTCTCCGGGTTGCCATACAGAAGATACCCTTATGAGGAATATGTCTCAGGGTACAAGGAGTTAACCGATTTAGAGAAGGAACACCCTCAAGTGGTTGAAACCTTTTGGGAAGTAATGTGCCACTACTACATTTGCACGAACACAGAGGGAAGGGCTGATAAGAAAGGTGAAAAGCTCCTCAGCCACAACATCTGGGCGCATTACCTTTTTCAAAACTTGAATCATAAGAAGGACCCCATAGTACCACTGGGTCCTTGTGAGGCGGGCGAATTGTCTCGACGTATACTTGCCAATCTACCCATGTCTTATGTTACATCTTCAGATGAGCATGGTTACCCGACATACACGACATTTGACAGTTACTTTTTCTAATGTGGGGAGCCGATTTCTTCCAAAACCTTACTGACAGGATATCTCATGTTATGGCTCAAGCATATTATTGTTGCTTCTGACAGTTTTGATGCATTGCCAGTAGAGGTGGTATTTCCGGCCGTTTGTTTGGCGCACGGTCGTCAATATGCTCTTTTGCCTGCCATGATCGCCCGTATCCATTAGGGACTGCGGCGCTTATGTCACGCTTTTTGTCAAGGTACTGAGAACCCAAAAGTAGAATTTCCCTACGCCTATCTCATGGCGTGGTTCGTCATGCATTGTCCTACACTTATGGACGCGCTTTCTGCTCATGTAGAGGGACGAGTTATTCCTTTCATCCACAGGTTGGAAAACTCAGATTGGAATAAGCATTATATGGCCTTAGTGAGACACATTCTCCGGGATAATAAAAATTTTGCTTTCAACCGGTGTTTTCCTCATTTTCTCGGGACCAGCTACGGCCAAGTTGTAGTAGACGAATCAAATGGTCAGGGCTACACTTCCCTGTCACTCGGTTTCTTCAAGTGGTTCCTGAACATTCGTCCCAAGTATCTCATTTATCGCTTCAGTCATGTGTGTGTATTAGAGCCTTATCTGCCTTGCCGTTTTACTCGCTAGTTTGGTTATGACCAGTTGTACATTGA